CAGCCCTCTAACTATTTTCATTCCCCTGTGCTGGACTCTGCCCAATTTGTCTACATCCTTTCTGTAGTGGGGGGGCCCGAAACCCAATACAGTACTCCAGAAGTGGCCTTATCAGTGCTGAACATGGGGAAAGAATCACTTCCCTCCACCTGCTGGCAACACTCCTACCAATGCAGCCCAGTATGCCATTAGCCTTCTTTGCAACAAAGGCACACTGTTGGCTCATATTCAGCTTATTGTTCACTGTAGCCCACAGGTCCTTTTCTGCAGAACTGCTGCTTAGCCAGTCAGTCCCAGTCTATGCTTGTACATGGGACTGTTCCATCCTAAGTGCACTTGTCCTTAATGAACTTCATGAAATTTCTTTTGGTTCAATCCTCCAATTTGCTGAGGACTCTCCCAATCTTAGCCCTACCCTCTAGGGTATCTACTACTCTCTTCACTTTCATGTCATCTGTAATTTTTTAACTTGTCATTCAATAGTCACAGTTAAAAAAACCCCCATTTGCTTCAGTTTATGTGAAGGATCTTTACATTTTTCTTCTAGGCACTGGGTCAGAACTCCCACTTATAAACTCTAAACATTCCCAGAAGTCACTGCCATGATCCTAAGGAAATGTTGTGAGCGCTGGTAGGCTATTAGGATGACATCACTCAGATTCCCATCTTGTTTCTCCTCACAAAACACTGCAGTTCAAACCTGACAGCTGATCATTTTCTAGAAGCCAGAGATTTTAAAGATTGCTTCCAGGTGGCAGTGAACACTGGATTTCTGAGAAATCAGATACTGAAACCAGGTTGTAATGGAAATGTAGAACGATGGCTAAATGGTAGCTAGGATGGCACAGTTTTAGGGTGTAAAACCTTAAAGGCTGCTGTGGCTGGAGATGAATATTCCTCTCTTGTGGATGGCTGAGATTTGCAGCTTTTTTCCTCACCTTGGGGCACTCTATAGCATCAGTCCTCAGAGCTATCAGGGAGCTATCCATCTAGCAGCGCCTTCTTGCCAATGAGGGCTCAATACTGCTCTCTGATGAACGTAACATTCAGTCCCTGTAGCTTATGCCAACAATATCAAAAATGGGTCTGCTGATTCCAGCACATTACGCTGAGTTAGAACATCACAACCAACCCTAGGCAGAGATGGACGGGGAAACCAGGATGTAAAGCTTGGGAGGAAGTGGTAGAAAAACAATGAGGACGACAACTCACATAAATCTTACTGAGGGAAAGGAGCTCACCTGTGTACTGGATTCCAATGTGCTTTGGAGGCTCTGCAGCTCCTGCTTGCTGGCTGCAAGCTCTCTCTTCAAGGCTTCCAAGACTTCTGTTTGTTCCTGAGACTGTTGAAAGAGCAGAAGTAACCACTAAACATGTACAGAACATGGGGGCATAGGTTTGAAGGGGCCTCCCAGGCCACTGAGCCCAGTCCCCTGTGTTTGCAAGCAACCCTTTGTTGAAAGGATCCATAAGATCATCCACTCCATCCCCTCTCACACACCACAGTCATGAAGCACCCAAGCAACAACCCCAAAAAAACAATCCTGCCAAATGCCACAGATAAAGATTAGGGGAGACACAGGAGCCACTAAAATGGCAGCAAAATTGTTAATATATGCTCTGGTAAGCCTAGGAAAAGGATAGTAACAAAGGATAATAACAGAAGCTACGGGCCTCAGATTAAAGTATTTTAAGACACCTCCTTCCTCATCCCCCTGTAATTCCCTCACTCCACAGCAGCCTTCTCCTCTCCTCTACTCATTCCTGGCTTCTCCCTTACACTAGATCTTGACCCCTCTCTCACCCACAGAAACTCTTTGCTCCAGTCTGCACACACCGACTCACCTTCCTCTGCATCTGCTCGCTCATGCGCTGGAAGGAGTCCTCTAATTCTTTCTTTTCCTGCTCCATGTCGCCTTGGGCTTGTCTTGCTACTGTTACCTGTTTGGTGACCTCTGCATTCTGGAGAACAGTATCAAGAACTCAAGAGCTGAGTCAGCTGCTGGGTATTTTCACTGGGCAGAGCAAAATCTTAAAATCTCTCAAGGAAAATCTGGCTACCTGCACCCAGTCAAAGATGCCAGGCATGGTGTAAAGAGGGGGCAGCTCCACAGGGGATTTCCCCCACAAGTGGCATTCTGAGAGCAGGAATGCCATCTCTCTCTTGCAGAGATGGTTAACAGCTCTCTCAGTTAGAGTTTCCTGCTTCTCCTGGGCACAGAAACTGGCACACAGCCAGCAGGAGGATGGGCTAAGGGGGGGACAGAAGCAGAGAGCTGGGCCCTACCTTGCGTAGCAGGTCGGCATGGTTCTGGACCAACTCGCTGTACTTCTCCTTCAGCTTGGTGTACCGCTGCTCATTAGCTTGTGCCTTCCCTGCCATACAATAGTGAGCTATAACATAAATGGCAGTTACATGCCCAAAGGAAAATCCCATCCCACCGGGAGAAATAAATGCCTACACTGAGTCCAGACGGAACATATGGGTCTGAGAGCAGCTATACAATTCTAGGCCACATTCAAGAGCATCTCCTGGTGAGAGGAGTTGGGACTGGCATAGCTGGGAGCCCCTCCTGGAGTCAATGCCCTACACATTTCTCCATAGCACCACATGGAAGAAGAGGTGGAAGTGGAAGAGCTGCAAGCCACCCCTGTAGCCAATCACTTTTGGACACACTTCTCTAGTCAACAACTATGTTGGGAAAGGCTGGAACTGGAGTACCTGGGAGCTGCCCACACTGCCAATACTTGTAACCCGATTCTTCCTGGGAGAGACTAGGGCTGCACTGGGGACTCGGGCAAATCCTGAGCAAGGCTGTAGTTTGTCCTTACTCTCAATCTCGGTCAGGCTCTTCTGTGCTTTCTCTGTGTCCTCCCGCTGCTTTTTCAACTCATCCAGCTCGGTGTGAAGGAAGTCACTTTCATCCAAAGCCTGTCGCTTGAGGTGCTGCTGCTCTGCCAGCTCTGCCTCCAGTTCACTGATCCGCCCCCGCAGTTGTACCACCAGGCGATGGCTCTATAGGTCACCAAGGGAAGGGAAGCATTGGGTTGGGGTGGGCAGAACAACTCCTAGCCCACAGAGCTCTAAGTGCCAATAGTTCTGCGGCTCTCTCTTTGGGCTTCTTGGTAGAGCCATTACAGTACTGCAACCAATTAAGGTGGTTGCCAATCAGAATGCTCAAGGCTGGTCCACAATGGCTAACAAGCATGTTAATGGAAGTAGTAGTCAATCAGGAGCAGTGAATCTATATACACTTTGAAACCAAAAAATAATGTCTGATTGGCTGTTCTCAAGCAACTGGTGCAGAAAAGTGAGTAGGAGGCAATGAGCAAACTGACTCTTCCCTACAGCAGCAGGGCAGATACAGCCCAGGGGCAGCCAAAGGGCACAGGAGTGGTCTCTACATCCAGGATAGTGTCAGCCCTGGCCTCATCCTGGGGTTGGTGAGTATCCTGGGTGAATGCTACTCCCAGAGACATCTGCCTGCAGAATAAGTTCCAGTGACATTTATGTTGTGCTAATCACCCAAAGGTTCCAAACGGCTCATGCTGAGTTTATAGACTATGCTATACATATAGGGATCACCTCCCCTTCTCTGACAAAGACAAAAGACAGAATCAGCACTGTTCCTCCTATAGGTATTGCAGAGACTTTAACGACTACAGGTGGTAAAGGCTTTTGACAGATGGCTATCTTGGAGCTCACACTGAAGCAACCCCAGTGTCAGCTCCGGAGGAAGTGCTATCAGTGGAAGCAACAACTCTAACCCCAGTACATCTCTGGATATTTCCTAGCCAAACTACAGGCCCAAGGGACTTTGACAAACAGTAATCAGAAATGCAAGCTTGTATAAAGCACCTCTATCTGGCCACTGATAGCACTCAAGGTGCACTGCACACACATCACATTAATGTGAGTAAGATGAGCTATACATTCACCTCTGCTTTAAAGTTTTCCAGCTCCTCCTTGAGGCCACTGATCTCCCGATAAAGCTGCTCAATTAACCGGTCCCTGGGAAGGAGAAAAATGGTGTTTGCATCCTCAGTACTGTGCCCCCACACCATAAAGCAAAAAATGTTATGGAGGTGTGGGGATGTGATGGGAAGAACCTGGAAAACATCCTAACTGCAGTATATCAACCAATGGGATGTCCATTCTGGACTCAGGTTTGCAGGCATGCAAAAAATCATGTACATCTCAAAAAGTATACTACAGAACACAAGGTGGTCCAGAGACCACTGACAAGAATGATGGGGAACCCGTGAAAACTCTCATATGGAAAGACAGGGATTCTTTACTCTATAAAGGGGACAACTAAAAGGGTCTAAAACAAGGATACACAAACTTATGGATGGTTTAGAGAATGAAGACCAAGAGCTTTTATTCCCTGTCTCATCACCCAAGTGCAAACAACCATTCAAAGGAGAGCAAGGTGCCAAATGCCAAAGGAGACGTGTTTTCATATAACACCCAATTAGTTTATGGAATTTGCTGTCTTAGAATAGAGATAAGATCAAGCTCTTAACAGCACAAAATAATTAGGCCTGTATATGAATAATAAGACTGTTTACAACTGCGGTAGTAAAAATAAATACAAAACCAAGATCTCTGTATGGAATCTAAAACTTTCAGCTCCAGGGCATATGCAGCTCTATATATCAAGTGTTAAAAAGAAATTTTCCCTGGCACAAATTAAATCACTATGGCCTCCTATATGATTTTTTCTTCTGTGGCAGCTGGAGCTGGCTATCAGTAGGATAGGAATTTCAGTTATATGGACCTGAATCTCGTATCTAGGGGACCCAGGAAAGAACCACGCTGCTGACTGCCAGTGGGTATGTGGTTTGGGACAGAGTGCTTTTTTTTGCCTAGAACAGGAAGAAGATGCTGCTGACTGTGAGATTCATTCTGTTTGGTATTAGTTATGTCCTCCTGGTATCCCATAGACTCTGGTCCATCACTCAAAACTCTTTATGGATGAATCCTGGAGCAGGAAAATTCTCAGCAGGCAATCAATCCCAAGGTATTGTCAAAGATGCCCCTTTTAAGGTAGGCCCAGGCCTTCCACAGTGCATGCTTTGCATGCATAGCTCCTATGTCCAAAATTGAATGTGACTGGTGAGCATGACAGCAAGGAGAAATATGGGTTATGGGGCCCCTTAGCGAGTACTTACTTGTCATCCTTGTTCATCCCATTCTGACTGTTGAAGTTGAAAGGATCATTACCAAACGAACTGCCAAAGATGTCATCGAACTTATTGTCGAACAGACTCTGGAAGCAAACATGGATCCACAGTCAAGTCTACCACTGGCTAAGCCTGGCCAGAAATACTGCACAAAACCAGGGCCACACCTTGCAGCTCCATTTTCCCATCCTCGTTTTCCCATGTGCCCAGCCAAACAGACATGGCAGCTGCTCCAAATTCACACAAACAAAATCTAAGGGACAGCTCTTTCTCCTTGCATCTAAGGTCCCTTCCCCATGCAAAGAGACAGTTTCCCTTTATGCCTCCTCCCTGATTTTCCAAGGAACCTGATTCAGCAGAAGGCAAGATATTTTGGGAGTGGAACACAGTGGGGTGCCTGGGACATGGGCAGATGGAGTCAATGTATGTGGCCATTTGCTTTATTAAACAAGAATGTTAGTTGTAAAATGGGTATAAACTGCTACAAGATGGGAATAGCCTGT